GCTCTGGCTGCCTGCTGGCCCTGCTGCTCTACAAGAAGGAGAGACGGTGAGGACGGGAGTGGCGTGGGCGCAGAGGCAGGGTCCGTGCCGGATCATGGGCGGCTCCTTTTGTTTTTGAGCCTTCAGGTTTTTAGTTCAGAACTCTGCAGAAGCAGTGTCCGGGTTTTCGCTTTCAAATGTGTGCATCTCCACCGGGGGTGGGGGGGGTACCCCAGGGGGGCGCCCCATTGGACCAGAGCCGAGGTGCCACCTGCAGGCGTGGCGCAGGTTCGGATGTGCACACCGCTTTCTTGCCATGCCCGAGGACTAGCAGAAATGGAACACCTTTCATGAGCGACTTCCTGCCGATCCGTCTGCCCTCTTCCCAGTAATAGAGGGGAGCATTTACAGGTGCCTGCTGGGTATCAGCTTTGATGCCACCCTTTGGCTCCACCTTGCTGGGCTCCTTCATGTCTGGGTCGAGGCACTGAGCTGGGAGCCCTGTGGGGCTGGCCCTGGCCTGGCCAGAGCAGGCCCTGGTCTCCTGCTGTCCCTCTTGCTGTTGGTGATGAGTCACAGGCAAATGAGGGCGGGCACTGCAGAGTACTGGCCGTGGCCATCCACACCCAGAAATGCAGAACTAGGGTGAAGCCCTGGGGCCTGGGGAAGGGCATTTAATGAGCAGGTACGGGACCAGCAGCCAGTCAGCTGTTGGCTCCCACAATCTCATCTGGCAGCCTTGGGGGCAGCGGGAGGTGTGGCCCCGTTACAGGCCCAGTGACTGTGGGAGCACAGGTGAAAAGTTATCAGATTCTAGACCTAAGAGGTGGCGTGGGATTCGAGTCCTGTCCTACCCGGTTCCAGAATCTGCTCTTCCCACTCAGTCATGACGGACACATCTGTTTTGAGCCTGCTGTCAACGGCTGGCCATTTGCCCTTCAGAACGTCATGCGTTGGCAGGGGCATCTGGGGAAATAGTGCCACCCGGAGGAGCACGCGGGGTAGCGACCTGCTGGAGTGGGGCAGGGCGGCTCGTTCTTGCCTAGAGTAACAACGGCCTCTCTTGTTCTAGGGAGACAGTGATAAACAGGCTGACCGGCTGCTGCAGGAGGAGTTCACACGTGTCTTACAAGTACTCCAAGGTAACCTTCTGCCGACGCCCGCGCTGTGCTGCTAGTCCTGCCGGGGGCCTGGGGCATCAGCACCACTAGCGCCGGCAGTGGGCTCGGGC